TGGAAAAGATCTGGTCAATGCAAAACAGCAACCTGATGTATTCTGTAGAATCGACATCCCAATCTAAGTCTGGCACATGGTGGAAGTGATGCTAAAGGATTTCAAAGGTTTCCAAGTGATGTCAAAGGATTTCAACAAGAGAATCAACTTGGATCAATTCAAATGATGGAGCAAGTGTCTGAGCATTTGGGAATGAACTAGTCCCAGATTCCAGGCTCTAGATATGTGGCTCAACCAGTCAATGATTCTCTTTTTCCTTGGGAGGAGGAGATGGCATCAACCGAAAATCCCATCACAATAGATGAAGATGAGGGCTTCTCAGTAACAATGACGCCTCAAAACAACCCAACACCACAACCACCAGCGATGAAGACTCGACCAGCTTTGCGTACTATAGAAACTTCAGAACTCTTCGGCTGCTCGACAGCTTTTTGATTACACTTTTCTGTAAAAAGAACTGTAGTTTATTTATTGTTTTTGTAAACATTTGTTGTTTGATATTTAATTCATTTCTTTAATTTTATTCTAAATAAGACAATAGATGAAAACTTCAAGGCAAAACAGAAATGATTGAAAAAATATTGGAATACAACTTGAACTAGCGCTAAATATTTGCACGTATGTTAAGAAACTCGATCAACTTTGGCACACATTCGAAAAAAATACTAGACAATTTGCAAACAAGTAAACCATTTAAAAGAAACAATTATATGAAACACTTTTAGCATCTTGAAAATTGAAACACTTTTAGCGCTTTTAAAAAAATAGAAAAAATTTTCACGTTTTATAGAAAAAAGTGAATTATTCAGAATAAAATCAGAATAAAATCAGAATAGTTTGTTGAAAATCAGAATAAAATACGACATCTTGTTGAAAAACTTGAAGATATTTTTTTAAAATTCCTGAAAAACTGACCAATTTTTTGTTTTTTGATAATTTCGCAGACAGTTGCAAGAAAACAGACATATAATCGAATGTTTTTTAATTTTTCAATGAAAAATTGACAAGATCATTATTTACAAATCCATAACTAACAAAAAAAACAGTCAATTAATTTGAACAAATCAGGTTCATATTTCAAGTTTGTACTTTAGGAACTCTTTCCAAACAAAGCTGAACCAATAGTTCGTGTGGAAGCCAGTTTCTGGTTGGAACATAAACAGTGACGTTTAAACTTTTTGCGTAACAGTCTTTTCTTTGCAAAAATTTGCACCTTTTCTGCTCCTTTCTAAACCAAATTGGGATGAACAGCGCAATCAAGTTAGTTGAAAACTTCACCAATTGATGAAATAACATTCGAATAAAATCTGATTTTGTACAGAGTGTAAAGACAATCGATAATTTGTATGTGAAATGAAGTTTACCCATTTCTAGTATAAATTGATCAAAAGGTGAACCAATCAGAAGTATGTGGAACTTAAAATTACCACAGAACAGTAAGAATTGTGGGTAGAGACACAATAAACTTGGGTAACTAAATATTTTTTTGTAAAAGTCACTGGAAGCGGAAATAGCAATTTTTCAAAAAAAATTCAAATAAAAGCTGTTAAGAGCTCCACACATAGCAGCAGCCATCTGGAACGAAGACTTTTGCTTAGAATTGTGTATTAATATTTGAGCACTAACAACTACAAAGACATTTGCTTTTCTGTTTCCTTTTATGGTTGACTGATTGACTCAATGTTTACTTCCATTTCATTTAATTTCAAAATCACTTCTCTCAATTCTCCTCATCTGATGAGTCTGTTCTCTTTTTTAAAAATGTACTCAACACAAGACACCAGTCCCAATTATTTTGAACTTTCAAAAATCATACGAGAATTGGCTTGCTTGGTCCCAAAAATCCTGCAATGGGAACATTGAAGTGAATCCTGCTTTCAACTATTCAAGAAAAAAGAGTTGGGACAACTCCTTAAAAGGCAGCGAGTCTATCTTGGTGAAAAGGAAGCAGCAATCAGAAATACTTTTATTCACGATGCTGAAAACCTTGGACTCAGCCCTATATTGGAACTCACTTCTGACATTGAGTCAACTATGCATCAGGAGCTTGCCAACAAAGTGTATGACATTGCGACTTACAATAGAAGGCAAGTTTGCGTCACGATCATACCTCCCTAAATTCTTACTCGACTCTTCACTGCAAAAAAGAATGAAGCAATGAAACAAGTTGCCTATGACAACTACACTTTGAACGAATTCAAACTTTCCCAAATTTTTGGGAGACTTTATTGTGTTAATTATGTTTTTGTCATTCATCACTTAGTTTTCTAGTTGAACATTAGTATGAGTTAGAATATTAGGTCCTCAAGTAACTTATCTTAAAACTCCACAATAAATTAGAATTTTATCATATTGTTATACCAGAAAAGTCTCTAAAAATTTCACTGTTATAGAATCACAAAACTTGAAAAACAACTTGCCGAATTTTTATGATATATTAAACAAATCACATTTTCGGCTCATTGATAAACTGAAAAAGCATCAACTGTGTTACTTTTCACTAATCAAACCTCAAAGCACAAATGTCATTATATTGCTGTAGCAGCCAACCCATTCAAGAGTGCCACCAAAAGCAGCATTTTTATTTGCGACTTGGAAAGTTGGAAAAAAAGGTTCGTACTAATACACTTCGACATAACTGAATACATAGGCGAATCTGAGCGTCGCAACTTTTGCTATACAACATAAAACTAACAGTGCAAGCCAGCAGAGGAAAACAAAGCCACTTAGTCCACAAAAATTAAATAGAAAAAAAAACACTTCAAAAAGCGACAACACACAAAAAACTCTAATTGTTCTATTTGCGGAAAACACGTCCAGAAACACAATTGACAGCAAGTAGTGAAAATTGAGCCGACGAAACAAATAATTTCCTGTAGAACCGAAAATAGATAGTTTTGTCATGAAAAACTTTGAAGTATAAATTCTATTCTAAGCACTTCAGCATTTTGGGCGATGCGTGAACAAACATAAAATTATGCTTCCTTTTAAACGAGTACAATTCAGACCACTAACCCGATAAAAAATGAGCCGAAATCATTTAAGCCGAATAGTTGTTAAAAATATAGCAAAATATATGAAGTCACGGCTAGTAAAGCTAAAAGTTGCAGAAGTAACCAAAATTACTGAAAGAATTAAAAAGATGTGGCAACTTAGCATGAAACAGAAAAACTGCAGGTCGACATTTTTTAGATTTCCAGTTTGAAAAAAAAACAGTTCCCGATCATATTCGAACACACGAACTATGCCGTCACCTCCAGGCAGGACCACTTGATTAAAAATTCGATTAAGTGCATTCTCAGAAATTGCAAATATGAGAAAGCAAAACTTGAAATAGCGAGTCTTAAAGCTCTTTGAATTTCAAGAACAATTTATGATTCGCATTTTCTTGATAGTTAACTCATTTTAAGAAAACTGGATTAAAAGGAAGAGTTATATTCCGCTGAGAAATATGAAAATTAAATTCCATTTTTGGAACTAGATGTGGATGATCTCGTTTTTCGTAACCTTTACAACTTTTTGCTCTTCTATAGGATAGTGTGTCTTCCTTTTACAAATAAAGTGAACTGAACCTAAAAATAAATCAAAAGTCAAAGCGCGAAAAAGTAAATTTGAACCTGAAAAAAGTTTTTAAAAAATACCAAGACCTTTATAAGAGTCTGAACTACGTTCATCGACTCTTAAACCAGATTGCTTGTTCTCAAGACAATATCCGAATTTGGCATGTCTTTTGAACAGATTAAGCTCATCAGGCAAGTTTTTTCAACGACGGAACGTATTATCGCAGTCCACGGGATCAAACAGCTTTGGCGTAGGACTGCGAATGCACGCAGCGTATTTTAAGACAAACATTGTCAGTAAGCGAAGGAAAGCTTGCAGCAAAAAATGACTGAGTTGGACAACACAAATGTGCCAACCTCGATGCCCATAACGAATGAGTTAGTGTTTAGGGAGGGTAAGAGTTCTTATCCAGCCAGTTGCGATTATAAATGCACTACTCTATTGAACTTGGAGATCATTCAATCTGGTTTTGCACGTTACAGACCAGCTGAACCAGAATGAAAGAGATGAGGATATCAAAAGTGACTCCAGGATTGAGGTGAGTTTGTAAAACGTGGGTAACACAGTTTCATTCTTCATGACATTTGTTTTGTTTCTGACGAGATGAGAATGGCAGTGGAATAAGAGTTTAAGATTCAGATTTTCCTCGTGTAGGCATGGTTGGACAATCGTTTGAAGATAAGAAACATTAGGGACAGGCATAGTGATAGAAATGGCAAAGTCGGTATGTTATTTACTGAGATGCCTAGAGGACATGAAATAAATACAGAAGATAGGCAACAGCACTCATCCTTGAGGACCCCTTGTTTCGTGCATCTCATTTTAAACTTATTGTCTCTAAATTCTACAGAAGTAGCACAGCCTCGTTTAGACTGTAACAATACAATTAAATGAGGCACTTAGCACAGTGGTAAGGCGTTCACTTTGAAATCGTCAGGTCGTGTAATCGATCCCATGCCATGGCAATGATAGTGTGTGAGGACGAGCTCCACTTGACGTCTAGCTTCAGGTCTACCACAACCTGACCAAATTTGGCTGCAATAGTGGTACCACGTAAAAGTTCTAGACGCAAAAAAAACGACCTTGAGTCGCAAAAAAAAACAGCTTCGCTCAGCAAAAAAAATAACACTGTCTGGAATGTGGGGAGATAATACAAATAGACTATCGTCGACAGGACTGCTAAGGCCTACTGATAGCTCCTCTGCGATTCGCAGGAACTACAATTATAATTATTAATTAAATGATGTTGCTTTTTCACGGCCATGATGAGTACGATTGGCCAGTGATTAATGACTCTTTTCCCGAGTACAGCGCATCAGCTGACGCAGCATCCGATGACATTCAGTGCAGAGGCTGCGCCAATTTGGGCCACGTAGCATTCGACTGATGAGTATTATGGACAGCCACTTTACACGCTGAATGAGGACAGCCTGTCTCACCTGTACATGATTGCTGGATTGATTCTGTCCCATTGTCCCACTGGCCTGTTGGATTCCACTTGCTCCCCCCACTTCCTCAACACTTGAGCCATGGAGAGAGGGTGGTACTGTTGTACTGGGAGCTGCAACACTTTTTTCCTGCTGCCCAAAACTTATACACTGAAACACAAACACCATATAAATCGCACCAAAGCAGCCATAGTCTAACACTTTTTTTAAAAACACGCAACAGCAACTTTTTAGTTTTTCATCTTTTGTCTGGCGTAAGTTGTGACTCGACTGGCAGCAATCAATTTGAACAGCTTGATACAATTTTTTTCCAAACAATTTTTTGCACTAAAACATTTAAATACGGGGAACCCTTACCCCTTCCCGCATATAAATCTAAATCATGGACCAAAATCGCGCTGAGGAGCTCAAGTGACCCAATAAAACGTTTATACACAGGCGAAGCACGGCTTCGCAATGCTTGTCATACAAAACATACATAGGAGAACATGTCAATTAACAGGCTAGCCGGCATTAAATAAGCATTCAAAAACATTGACCGAGGGGAAAGTTAACCAACCGAGCAAAAGTAAAAAAATATACACCCGAATCCTCATGAAACTCGATAAGCAGAAAAATACTATTTTGCCTCACATGACTCAAAGTGAGATAATTAAGCCATTTTAGGATAAGGTGAAACTCGACCCCCTGACGACCCAAGAGTGCTCCTTTGTACTATTTCGAAATAAAAATTAATGGCGGACGGACCCTGAATTTTATCTAACGGCGCATTGGTCGCCATAATATACTAATTGAGGGGAGATCGCGCGCCGATAAAAACGCAATTTTTTGGTCAAAAAAATCCGAAAAAGGCCTTTTTTGGCCTGTTTGTTAAAAAATTTGGCTGCGACGCAGAAAATTTGGTCCAAATAGTGATTTGTGACAGTTTGGAAAACAATTTGGTCGACCTAAAATAAAGATCGATAAAATTTCGAAACTTTTTGAAAATCCCCCTAGGGAAAACCCCAGATCCACCCCTAATCGGATTTGAGGAGTATTGAGTAATACATGAGACAGTAAATTGAAAGCCAACTAAAGCAGGACCGCAGCTGAGATAAAACATCGTGTGGTTCTCGATAGGTATTGCTTTGAGGTGAATGGATACGAATAACCTTAGAGCGACGAGATTAGGCAAGGAACTTCTTTCCTTGCTTTGTCTTGTTTAGTTTTAAAATAGTTTTAGAGTGCTCAAAAACCAAAACAGGAGTTTTCGTCTCGGTTATTGACAACTACGGGTGGCTTTTCGTCAACAGAAAAATTGGATAATCGCTAATCGTCAGCGTAAAAGGCGAGGCGAAAAAGTTCTGATAAGGAGGGCGTCATGGAAATATTTATAAAAATCTGGAGATAACATCATGTTGATGCTTGGCATTTGGTAAATATTTACTGAAAATTGGATGGATGAGCCTCTCTTAAGTTTTAATCACTGGACAGGAAGTGATAGGAACTTGTATGCTGTGGATAGCCTTAAGTCTTATCTGGTTTTAGTAAAATTAAGACTTTCAACTTTTCCCACTCCTTTCCACTCTTGAGGGATTATATTGTCAGACAGCGAGTTAACTTAAAAGAAAAGTTAAGCAGTGAAAGATTAGAGGAACTAATCTTTCATAGGCCATCAGGGATGTTTGTTTAGTGGGAATTGCACAAGCCATCCGGACCGCGGACTTTGGATAGTTTGCTATCTACGATGGCTAGTTTTATCTGTTGTTGGAAAAAGTAGGGTTTTATGAAAGAGGGAGTTTGGCAATTTTTCGCCTCGTTGTGGGAGGTAGTTTGTCTGAAGCGTGGGCCCTGGCGTTGGTGGACTGTTTGTTGAAAGTTTTGGCTATATCTGGTGGGGAGTAGATGAAAGTTGAGTCAATTTTTCATGGGTACTTGACAGGCCTCGATCCGTTTGGGGAGTGTATCACTTTCTAAACAAAAGATTCTGGCCCCAGTGCAATAGACGCATGTTTGGCGGATTGGTTTCCATTTCTTTTGTTTTTGCTGTCTGTTTCAAAAATTTTCTGTTTAGTTGAGCTACGTCGGGATCTACGGTTTCGCTGAAACAAGGGTTAAATTTTTTCTGACGCGAGAGTGGAAGATTCCTCAGAGAGAAGGTGTGGGGTGTATGAAACGGCGAGCGAGTCTATGACGGCAATCTGCCCAGATGACTACGTTTTGGAGAAATCTCCCGTCTGCGGCAACAGTAAGAGGAAGCGCCTGCTTCAAAGAGGCCAGAGGCAATCTCCTCAGTGACGCTTTTCCAGTCAGCTACAAGAAAAAATCGCATATCAATTCTGGAAAAAAAAACTCAGATGTTCACTCAGGGGTAGTTGAAGAAACATGGGGTGATCAGATCCTGGGGATTCTAGCCGGGACCAAGATGGAAGCCAATTGCAACAATGATTGAGACGCCAGTGAAATGTCGACAGAGGACCGCAGAAATTCTGCGTTAACAAACATTCTGTTTTGGTTTTCATTTAAGGGCGCAAAAGTGGATTAGGTAATTTCATTTATGAAAATCTCACCGCTTTTATATTCTATGTTGGAGTACTATCAGTTTGAGCGTTCGTTGGTATCGCCTAGTACAGATGCGTCACCAGATTCTAGCACATTGGCAGGGGATGCAGCGTAACTGGCGGGGCAACAAGATCAGCTGAAAGTTGTGCGTGACTGGAGAGGCAGCATGTGGTAGGGACCAAATTGAGATAGTCAAGCTCGGGATCACCAGCGGAAAAAGTGGGGGGACGCTCTGCCCCGCAAGGATTCGGCCCCCTAAGACACAGCGGGTCCCCCTTTGTACTATTTGGAGAAGTTGTTGGCGGACAAACCCGGACGCCAATGTATAGTAAATTTTGAGGGGAGCGCGCGCCGAAAAAAAACGCAACTTTTTCAGTAGTGCCAAAAACGCATTTTGTGGCCTGCTTGTTCAAAAAATTAGCTGCGACGTACAAAAAATTTGTCAAGATTTGATTAGTCTGGTATAGTTTATTTAGGAGAATAATATTATACAGACAGGTAAACAATAAACCGCATGTACAAATCAAACCCACCAAGAATCATGCAAAAAGCTATGCAGCTTATCGAGGCATGACCCTGAAAAAACCTATGACAGAAGTTGCGAGATAGTATCCGACTTAGTGATTCAAAAAAAATAAATCTAAGAAGATCTCCATTATCTTTAAGAAACAATGAAAACAATTTTTTGAAATACTCATTTAGTTGATGCTCAGTTAATTGGTTTAGGTTATCTGGTATCAGCTCGTTTGATTTCAAAAAATTATAACATTTAAGAGACACATTTTTCCATGAACGTTGCATTATTTGTGTTCTAGTTTTCATGCTTGGTAAAATTTTTGCCACAGAGGCCCGAGTAACCCGACGATTATTCAGAGATTCCAAATTAAAAGTTTCAAGGGGAGTTTTACCACGAAGTTGACAAAACGTTTCTTTGAATATTTGTCCGAAATATAAGTCAAAAACGGTGTCAATCTCAAACGAATGTAAGATATATGAGGCATGCTCAAATTTTCTCTTGAAACAAATAGTTTTAAAAAGACGTTTTTGCATCAAAAATATTTTTTCTAATAGGTTTTTTGATGTTGCACCAAATGCAATTAAACCGTAGGAAATGAGTGGCTTTGCATAGCAGATATAAAATTTAACCAGCACATTTTTCGAGAAATAGTTTCTACTCTTGAATAGTAAACCGTTAAATTTAGCTTATTTACCACAAACATTATTAATATGACATTCAAATTTGAGTCCGTTGTCCATTTGAACTCCTAAATACCTAAAATCAGAAACCTCGGCGAGTACATTATTACCAAAAGAAAACTTTTCATTCAAGTTATCCCGTCCAAACTTCATTATTTTGCACTTCATTTGATTTATGAGCAGTTTGTTATTATTGCACCAATTACGTATTTTATTTGATTCTGTCTGGAACTTCGTTTTGGATGCAAATTTTTGAGCATCAACTACCGTCGTATCATCTGCAAATAATGTTAGCTTAACGTTGCTGGCCGACGGCATATCATTTATGTATAAAAGGAACAGAAATGGCCCCAAAACTGAACCTTGAGGAACACCTTTTGTACATTCTAGCATATTCGAGACGGATTGATTCGAATAGACATATTGTTTTCGCCCTGTAAAATAAATTGAATGTGAATTTTCCATCTGAACCCATATTGATAAAATTTGTCAAGCAAAATTTTCCGATCAACTGTATCAAATGCTTTTTTCAAATCAATAAAGCAGGAGTAACCAAATTTTTTATTATCGATTGATTCACGAAAAAAGTCATTAATGGACAAAATGGCATGAGTACTGACGCTTATCAATCAAGTTGTTTTTAGCGGCAAAACTATATATGCGCTTGAAAATTAGTTTTTCAAAAAGTTTACTTATACAAGACAACAAACTAATTGGACGGTAGTTATCGGGTTCAGTTTTGTCGCCATTTTTATACAACGGTAAAATTTTTGCAATTTTGAAAAAATTAGGAAAACACTCTTTTTGGAAGCAGATATTGAAAAAATGCGCTAAATGGTCAGCCAGCACCGGAGCAGAAAATTTTACCATTTTACTACATATCCCATTATGACCAGTAGACTTTTTATTGTTCAAGTTTTTAATTTCCTTCAGTATCTCATATCGATCGGTATCATATATAACGAACGTGTTGTTATTTAACTGGAAAATTTGATCTATACACGTTTTGTTTGAAGTTTTCTGTTAGTTTTTCTCCAATAGTAGCGTGTTAATTGAAAAAATTAACATCGAACGAAGCAGTATTCAAATTTTATTTACCACAAAAATGTTTTGAAGCATCAAAAATTCCGGACGCGTTCTTCTCCCTCGTTATCAAGTTATCATAGTACCGGCGTTTACTCACCCTTATAGCCTTAATAACATTGTTCCTACATGAGGTGAAATTATTTCTGTTTTCAATGGATGGTGTCTGAACCCACTTTTTGTGTAACACATTTTGGTTATTCATCATTTTCTTGATTTTCAGATTAAACCATGGGTGGTTGTTTTTATTCTTTCTTCGGATTTTTTTAAGCAATACTTTGAAAATTCATCAATCAAGATTTGGGTCATTTCAATGATGTAAAGGTCAGGATCGTCATCATTAATTTTGTTCAATCGAAGATAGGGTCCTATAGTGAATTGTGACAGTTAGGATAATCAATTTGGTCAACCTTAAGAAAGATCGATTAAATTTCGAAACATTTTGAAAATCCAATCCCTCGAGAAAGTCCTAGATCCTCCCTTCGACTCGGTTATCGAAAAACACGGGTGAATTTTCGTTCAACAAGCGGTGGATAAAAAAACAGCGGCTTCTTCTTTGGAGCATCTGAGAAATAATTTTCTTGATTCTTTGAAATAATTCGGAAGAATGGATGGTAATCGTCAGCGTAAGAGATGAGGCGAACTCTTTCTAGGCAATTAACTGATATTCACTGGAAATTGGGTTGATGAGCCTCTCTTACATTATACTTACTGGGCAAAGAAGTGACATGGACTTGTATGACGTTGACAGCCTTAAATCCTGGAGGACTGCCATATGGATTTCTTTTTCCGTTAAAAAAAGCTGCAACTTTCGTGCTTTCCCCGAGATTTCGCCACAATTCAATTTCAAGACTTTTAAAAGCCTTTGGCTGGTGTTTGAGAACAAGAATTGCCCAGATGGGTTGGTTGGATAGCTGAAAATTGGGGTGACTCTAGGGGCAGTCTGTGGATGGGAGTTTCAGCACAAGATAGTCAAGCTCTGGATCACCAGTGGATTAAGGGAGACGGAGACGGGGGCGGACGCGCCTACCCCCTCAGGGATTCGACCTGCTGCCGACCAAAAGGGTCCCTCTTTGTACTATTTGGAGATTTAAAATGTGGGCGGACGGATCCTGAATCTTTTTAACGTCGGCGCAGAAAATTTGGTCAAAAAATGGTATTTTAGTGATTTGTTAGAGCAATTTGGTTGACTCAAAACAAAAAAGTCAAAAAAATGTCTTGAAAATTGAAGCAATATTTCAAGTCTTCCCAGCCACATAGGTGGCACCACGCTTGCTTGCGCTGGCGTTCTTTTGGAACAAGGAACTTGACCGCGACGCCGATTTGAAACTAATCAAACTTAAGGAAATAGGATTCTTAATTGCTTGATCTTTGATCAATTTTTCACATTTCAGAGGGAGATGAAATTTGGAAGCAGTAAATAGAAGGCTACTGTGAAGTTGTCGGGATTGATTGCGTGGAAAATGGAACTTGAGAAGAAGGTGGCGAAGATGAATTGAGAGTGTCGGGTGGTCCTCAAGCAGCTGGAGTTGGTTGATGCAAACCCTGATCCTGTGGTTAAGAAAAGGAGTAGAGCACATCGTTATAGAAAATTTCGGAAAGATGCGTTAGGAAGAAGGATGAAGAAGAGTTGGATGACTGACCATTGTTTTTGAACTTTGTTTTTGATCTGTTTGTTTCTAGAATGTATTGTTTTAATCTCTCATCGTCTTTCAACGGTAATTTCTGAAATCTTAAAATCGGTCGTGTACCAAGCTTCCAATTCCCTTTTTTTACTTGCACTACCCTCACTGGACTATCATTTCCTGCATATACATTTTCCACGATTCCAAGTGGCCATGATAAAAAGGGGTTATCATCATCAGTTATGTATACAAGATCTCCTTTTTCAGTTTTGTTTTTGTACACGGTTCTTATGACTTGAATATTCAAGAGTCTATTTCCCAGATATCTGCAATCAGTTTGTGCAGGTAGTTGAATCGTTTTAACGGACATTTTTCATCTTCAGTATGCTCATCAATAGTAGGATCAGCAACAATGGGCAACTGACTTGACTTGAAGCCATTTTGAAGCATTGATGGAGTGAGTGGCACAAGGTCTTTGGCATCATCCGAGATCGTTGTGATCAGTCTTGATTTGAGTTTAGCATCTATCTGACAGAGCACTGTGTACATAACAATTTTAATTTTTACTCCATTGCCTGCTGTCTCGTGATAGAGTACTTTCATTGACTTAAAAGCAGCTTCCCATAGCCCTTCGAAGCTTCGAGCTGTTGCAGGTATAGTAGTCCAATTGATACCTAAGTCTCGATCATGACCAGGGAGGCTGTTTATCTTGTGTCTATCTTGTAGAAGTCTCTTCGCTTGAATCAGCTCGAGACGTTTGCAGGCTTGACAAGGTTTGCGGTACCTCAAGACATGTCTATAGCCTTAACTTAGTCCAATTTATCCATACACTGCTACTGGATCAATCAGAAACTGGAAGCAATTGAGCCCAAGAGTTTTGACACTGTTGTCATTTTCTGCTAAGAAAAACTCTGTTTTCATGCAATTTGTCGGGTATATCGTTTATGACAACCTCGCTGTTACTTGCCCACTTCCGATTGTGCAGGCAGGCTTTGTACAGAGTGTGCGTGAGACTGGTGCATTATGATGGCTTGTTCCTCAGTATCTTCACCACCAACGTAAAAGTCCACGTAGATGGACTCGCGAATTGCTAGCTTTGTCTGTTCATCTTGTTGTGTCGGCGGTATCTGACAAGAATCGTATGGCAGTATGGCTACTTGAAGCTACAGCATAGATGGCACGAGTCATCAGGTACTTCTCAATTGATTTCCCTTCTCTTCTCCAGTAGAGCTGATGTTGATTTCTGTCTTTAGGGTATAGTCCTATTTGCCTGTACAAATTGTGAAGAACCGGAAAAGAATGTTGAAAAGGTCTGGCTGGTTGAAAAGGTCTTAACTACTTTCAAACTGCATGAACTACTTTCAAACTACTTTCAACTGATTCGTTGAAAACAGCTCTGAGTCCAACTTCCAAACTGCATGATGAGGCATGATGAAGTACTTCCCGACTGGGAGAAATTGATCTGACACAGGTACCTTCTCGGTATGGCCATGGTCTATCAAGAGCTTCAGTCCCATCGTTTGCAGTTTCCCATGCCTTCTAAGATTCGAGATTCTCGACGAGAAGGAAATGCCACAAATCGTTTTCCACTGACCTTCCGAGTGCCTTGATGAACTGCGAAGTCTCATTGAAGACTGAGTATAGCCGACGAAGCTGAGACAAATTCTCCGTTCGGACTGCAGTGAATCCGTGAATTCGTGACAAAAGCTTTCGAGGGATGACTGGATCGTTTTTATATCTCTGCTCTAGCATTTGCAGAGTTGCTATCTCGTAGTTGCTTTCTGGCGTCTCCAAGCTCAAGATGAGCTTAGTAGTATGGTTCGTCAAGCAAGATACGTCAATTTTTGAACCGGTGACAACTTGTCATTGTCATGGACAGTTGATCGAAATTGATCAATGAAGCTTAGACAGGCCGTGAAATCGCCTGCGGCTAGGCAGATTGATCTGCGGCAATCTTGGTGTGATCGTTGTAGGTTCAATCTGTATAGTTGCAACAGGGTTGATAGGCTGAATTGATGCAGCTATCATTCTCTTTGACGCTTGTAGAGTTTGGCAAGCAGCCTTCTGTGTGTTCTGACATTGATCGAATACTTGATCGTATTCTGCATCAAGTATTGACGGTGATAGCGTCAAGCAGCTTGTGATCAACATTTGAGGATTGAGCCGAGCAATGCTCAAACTCGGTTGTTTCATCGCTCCACTCGTCGTGATTACAATTGAGGGTAGCACAAATGTGGCTAACTTGAGAAATTTGCCGTTGCAAAACTCGCAGACAGTTTCTTTGAGCTCGTTTAGGCTTCTCCATAGCTGATGTAGTTTGACTTTCTGTAGTATGCTCAGCCAGTGTGCTTAGTTTCCTTAGGTTATGGGGCGGACCAGAATTTATACTTTGCGATAGCTGGAAAGCGACTGTACGGTAATAAAATTGAATTAAGGATGATTTAGTTCCTATAAATTGCGGGCAAATTAAATGAATAAATTATGGCAAAATTAACATCCGTTTTCAATTGAGTTTATATGCAAACGAAATATCTTGCCATTTAAAACATGCTGTGTTTAATCCAACATTATTACATTGTGCTTTGTCAAAGCACATGCTATGAAAAAGCTGTGAAGGTGACCCAAAAGTGGCATCAGGATTTAATCTACACCAATATTTGCGACTTCGGTTGAAAAAAAAAGAGTTCATACTATAACACAAGCTTTGCTTGTTTAAAAATGAGAACACTTCAAAAAAAATTGCTTAAAGCAGGTGAAAATGGAAGTTTTCAGCAATAAGTCTTATGTAGTACGCAGACAAACGATAGTCCGACATTTGAAAACTTTTTTAAAACAGTTTCAAGTTAAAAAAAAAAACGCTCTAGACCGTACTTGAAAAATTTGTTTATTGAGGGGAAGATACGAACTCTAGACAACCTCAAAACTCAGTTATATTTTATCAGCACTGTACATGTGAATTCATCAAGAAAAGACTGTTAAATGAAAGAAGGATGTTAGAAGAAAAACGTCTACTCCCTGATTACAGGCCCTCTCTCTTCAAGTTTACAGACAAATGGGTGTTAGAATAAGTTTTACTGACGTCTTTGAGGTGCTGAGAGAAGCTGTCGAAGCAGGGCAGTGCAGCCAGTCGGGCGCAGAAGTGTGGGTGAAGGTGAAGAGAGGGGCTGAGTCGGTCGAGAGAAGTGAGGGCGAACAGGAACATGTTTTTGTGGTCTGCTTTGTCCTTCAGGGTGTCCAGTATGTACTGCAGTGCCACCCGCAGTGCCTCCCCCTCCATCAGCCCCTCCTGGATCACTCCCCCGAACAGCAGGGCAGTGGTGTGCAACTCCTTGTCCGGATACTGTTCGAAGAACTGGTACTCTTCCAGCAGATTGCGCATCATGCACAGGTAGATGTCCTACATAAGCAAGCGAAATGGAGATAGAATGGGCAGTAGAAGAAACGGCACAGTGAACACACCTACTCAAAACTGAACAATCAAAAGGGTAATGGCTGATAAAGAAACAATTTCCACTATAACATCAGTTGATTGCTGTTCGTTTTTCCTGATTTGGTTACCTAATAGTAGTATAGTTATCCGCCGGTACTCGAACAAGTGTGGGCAGTAGCGGATTTAGGGGGGACGTCCCCCATCTCAGAGACTTGACCCCCTGCCGACCCAAAGAGTCCCCCTTTGTACGATTTTGAGATATCCATTTTTGGCTGCCTGACTTTAAGTTTTTTTCTAAAGGCGCGTTCGGCGCCAATTTATACTAGGTAAAAGGGGGGAGCACGCGCCGAAAAACGCGGTTTTTAGGTCGAAATTTTCTAAAAAGTGCCTAATAACGCATTTGTTGGCCTTTTTTTGAAAATTTGCCTGCGGTGCATAAATTTTGGTCAAATTAGCGTCTTTATAGTGGTCTGCGAGAGCTCAGAAAATCAATTTGGTCGACCTAAAAAAAAATTGATAATTTTTTTTTTGAAAATTCGCCCCTCGAGAAATTTCTAGATCCGCGCCTGGGGGTGGGGGTTGTTTTACAGCAGGGCAGGGAACCGTACTGAATGAAAAAAAAACCAAAACCATCTAGTGGTACCGTCGAAAATTTTACAGGAAAAAAAAACAACACTGAAATAAGCTTGGAAAGGGTTTTCGGTTTAAAAGATATCCTTAGTCATATGAAAAGAAAGATTCATGTGTGTGTGTGGTTTTAAAATTGTTATATAAGAGTAAGTGGTAGGGAAATACCAAACCCTATGAGTATGTTGGAACAAGAATTAAACTTGAGCTTTCCAACTGCCTAGTCAAATAGAGGTACATCTGAATCAACGAAACATGTGTTTGGTGGTGAATATTTGGTGTGAAAACAAAATTGAAGAAAAATGAAATAAAAATTAACACAAACTTAAAAACTTCGTTAGCCACGGAAGAAAGTGTGATTTGCGTTACTATAGAAATTGGTATCTGAAAATCAGTTTAGTTAAAAAAAATGGTACGATTTCAAAAACCAATGGCTACAAAAGCGGAATTGGAGATAATCAATTGAATTAACCTTGGCTTTAAAAAATCGTACACTGAAAACACTGATCGTAATAATTATTTTCTCACTGCTTGTATTCTATTCTACAACCGAAAAGAAATTACCTATGATATTGCTTTGAACCTCAGACTCTATGGCGGTTTGATAGATAATGACAACTCATCGCTGAATAATATCTCTCAAAAATCCGGCCTCTTCGAGCAATTCTACACGACGCAGTGGGTTTGCTTTAGTTAGAAACTTATCACGAAGGACGGCCATAATCAAACTGGTTACTCTGGAAAACAGCAGCTTTTACATTTATCAGAAATAGTGATCTGCTATTACATCAAAACTTGCAAGAAAATGTAACATTTACTGGAATGTTGAGTGAATGACCATTCGTACTTGTTTTTGAAGGCTTCCTTTATAACAGAAAGCTTTCAATCGGTTAACCAATCAATTGCATGATTACGTCTCAAAAGGCATAATTCCCAAATGGCATAAAAATGAAAAGTTTCCCAAATGGTATAGTTTTCATACAACAGTTGCATTGAAAAAATCGCGAAAAACTTTGGGTCTTATGCACAAAACGGCCCAAAATCAATGTTTTCATATGTTGAGTTACAACTTATGCAGCCAAATCTGATTGGCTAATATTAGCCATTCAAATTCAAGCAACTTGTTCAGGCAATTCAATCAAAACTTCCGAGCAGATAAAAATATTAGCCGAAATTACCAATATGTGAAGCTTCGTCTATAAATAATTTTTCTTCAAGTATTTGGGGTAATTTAGCCCGGACGAGAAAAATTTCTTTAAATAGATTCAGCAGAAAAAAAAGTTTTTGATTTTGGTTATTCCGGCCAACAATTTTATCTGCTGGAAATTTTAATTGAAACGCCGAAAAACTTTGTTTGAGTTTGAGTGTCTGATTAGCGAATCAGATTCAACGGTATTACTTTGAGTTCAAGAAAGATGCAGAAAGATTGATTTTTGGGTCGTTTTGTGCATAAGACCCAAACCTTTTTCGTGAACAATGTGAAAAAACTATTCAACTTGTCAATTCAAACGTTGACTGACACTTTATCTTGAAAATCTTTTCTGATTTTAAATCAAAAGCGAAAAGCATAAGCTTGCGGTTATTGATAAGCTTCTTGTGGTCAATTTTTCCGACAACTTTGTCACTTAGCATTTGTTTCGAAGTAATTAAATCAAAATCTTGCCCACGTTTTCGTTCCTGACAAAATTTTAAATTCGAAATTGATAGAAAACGTTTGATTTATTCCAGTTGGGATAAGTTTCATTTTTTGCCATATGGTATTTATGCCATTTGGGAAACTACCAATTGCATGATATTGTATGGGAGGATGGCGAATATTCATACATCCATGTGAACGAATACTTCAGTTTTGACAGATTTCCTAGACAGGAAACTAGAAAAAACGCATGAAAAAAGGTATCCACGAGTAAAAGATATTCAAGGCAAGTACCAGACAGTCTGCTCCTATCACTTACCGCAGAGTGATTTGAAAGATCGTTGAGCTTCACAGAAAGGCAGCGCTTTTTACGATTGGTTGAAAAAGGAGCAACGAAAGCCCAGCCAAGTCAAGACCTACCGCTCTCTAAGATCAATTCTTTGCAGTTGTATCAAACCAGAAAACTAAAGCTGAGTTTCACTAACTAGAAGAAAAAACTTAAAACTAGAGGACAGAACGTTCAGCAAATTGTTATTGATCGTAGTTTTTCATCATTTCAAAAACATCCAAGAGTTTAGCACTCATAAAAGATGCCTTCCCAGACTCCAACTAATTCGGAAACAAAAACGGGGAGTTCAGAGGGATCCAGTCAGCAGTGAAACGCCAGCAGCAAAAATAACCTGGTGGATACTGCAAATATGACAAGACAAATTTCATATTTTTTGAAAAAAACTGATACGGTACCTTCTAATTATGTCTTAAAAAAGCATGATAAATAAGACAATAATCTGTCTGAAATCCAACGTTATGAAACAAACTTAAATTTCTAACATACAAGAAAAAACAATGTCTAGCCGGGACTCAAACCCCAAATTGCAATGGCGACCACGTGCCTCTAGGCGAGTTATGAAGGAACGTGGATATTTCTGAGGTTCAAAACAGAGCCAAAGTTGCACTTCGGAGATGCAAGCAAAAAATGACCGATAACGCTTCTGGGAAAACTGAATGAGCAAACTTTGAGTCTACATAATTTAAAAAATGAAGACCGCCAATTATGAGTCTACAACTTGCTAAGTGACGCACGCCATCATTACACATTAGCAAAACCAGTCAATTTGAAGAAAAAAGAAATTTACCAAATAATATGCCTCAATTTATAGAGCGGACGCATTTTAACTAGTATACCAAAAAGTTCATTAAAACATGGGACCGTGCCCAGGTTCGAGTCCTCTAATTTGGTTGCGGCTATCCTTCCCTACATCTACGCTACAGATCCATTATACCTTGACGCTAAAGTGCTATTTGTAATAACAAAGCCAATCGAAGATTGGAAGAGTAAAGAACGCAAGGAAACTGAAAAAAAACTGACTTGTTTTTTTTTTCAAAAACTATTGAATTTCGAAAAAAGTAAACTGCCTGAAAACTCTTTGAATTTGTAGAACAATTTGTCATAGACATTTTAATAAAACTAACCCAATTTGAGAAAACTGGATCAATAGGCAAAACTATTATTTCGCTGGGAAATCTGATAATTCATTTCCATTTTCGAAATGAGAAGTCGATCCCGTTTTTCGTAACCTTTACACTTTTGCTGTTGAGTAGTGGAGTTTACCTTCTTTTTAAAAAAAGGAAATGCACTGAACTTGAAAAAAAATCACACGTCAAACCGCGAAAAATCAAAATTGAGCGGGAACAAATTAAAACTTTTACCCGAAAAAAAAACAAAAAAAATCAGCAAGCCCTATATAAGAGTACTCACTACGTTCATTACTCTTAATAATAGTCTGTGTTAATATTCTTAGCATTGGCTGTACTTAATAGCTGGTTATTGATCTTATGCACATACTGCAATAAAAAACATTTCAAAATGAACACTAATATTTGCTACTGAGTTTGGAAAAAAAGAGCGTTCATACTATCGCACAAGCTTTGGTTTTGTAATAATAAAGCAACTAAGAAAAAAAAGTAAGATTTGTGAGAATAGTTGTTTACAGGAAAACTATTGTTTACAGGAGCCACAATTGACTTTTCGACCGTAACCGTACGTGCAGTTTTCGTTTACGCACGGTACCGCACCCTGCTGTAACCCCCACCCCTCCCCCTATTGCAGTACTGGCGGACTGGTTCTCTCAACTCGATCGCGCCTTCACCTTGTCTCGGGGCAGTGAGGAGTTCTTGTAGTTCTTCAGTAGTTCCAGCACTTGGTTTATGTGGGGTAGAGGATTGGACTGGCTGTAGATACGCATGAAGTAATTATTAGTCTCCGTCTCTATTTCCCCAGAGAACTCGCGCTGCTTCAGCACAGATCCACCCACATCGCCCGCAGCAGATGTAGTGGGGGAGGGTGCATTTGCCAGAGTGAGTCCACTGCCTGTACCCAAGCTCAGTGCGGATGTGAACGGTGGTTGCTGTTGTTGGGATGCCATGAAGTCTCCGCCGGAGGCCACCGAAGCGGATGAACTCAGTCCAGGTTTAATGGAATGGACTGCTGCTGCCGATGATGAAAGTTTAGATGACCCATATGGTCCTACACTCAAATCTAAGACACGCAAAACAAACAATTATCGCCACAGAAAAGGGCAGCTTTTTCAAACTTGGCCCAATAAGATTTTCAAATGACTCTTAGCTCAAATTAATTCAGAAACTCTGCTCGTTGAGATTGACACTCGAGCATATAACAATAAATTAGGCTCTGTCATTTTTTTCCACATAGTGTGACATTGGTTGGCAGCTTTTTAAAATCTAGTAAGAGCCGATAAATGCACTCGCTTAGTTTTGTTTTGCGTAATCTAACACGCAGCATCTGAGCGGAGCTTACTGTGTAAATGAGAGAGTGCTGCAACTGCTGATCCACCCACATCCTTCTGATTGCCCATACCCCCCACAGTGTGATGTTGTAGAGGGGGGTTGGAGGAGTGGAGAGGGCCCATGGACTGGGAGGAGGATTGTCCATATATGGGACTCCCTGTGCCCCTCACGGCCATGCCTGTTCCCAGTGGGTTACTGCTGTTGTTGCTCACTGCAGAGGCTGTTGCAGGGGCGAAGTTGGGCTGCTGCTGCTGGTGGAGATGGTGGTGGTGGAGGGGCGGATGCGGAGGAGGGTGGGGAGGGGGGACAATGAGTCTGCCAGTGCTGAACCACTGCTGCAGTGGCTTCACTCTCTTCGCCAGATCCTCCACCGCCTTCTGCGTCTGTGCCGAGTAGTGGGACACAGTCTCAAACAGGAGGCGGGTGGCGTTGATGATGTGTTTGAGTTTGTGCAGGTGTGCTTTCGGCAGTTCAGCCCCTGCCACGTAGAGAGACACTCTCTCGTCAATGAACGCAATCAACTCCATCACAAACTGCTCCTGCACAAACACACTTTCACACACATACACACACAGAGAGCTTAACTGAGTGGGAAGATAGTGACGAGTAGACCCTTTAGTGCCTGAGGCGGCATAGAATACACTTGGCAGAAAACTGCAAAGCAAGTCTATCTGAGTTTATATCGCCGCCAGCATCCGTTTTCAGTTCAATTACAATTAAATGTCTCAGTGAACAGTATAAGAATCAATTGCAGAATGGAGATGATTAGACGCGTAACTTAAGAGGCTAACTCTATAGGAATACGCGAACAATCTGCGTTGTTTAAAATCTGCGATGAAGTTAAAAGTTTAGTGAGACAGGCGGTTCACTTGGGTATGGTCTGACCTTGTGTGTTGCAATGCGGTCGCTCAGATACTTCTCCAGGTTGAAGTAGTCTCTGTTAGCTCCGTGCATCACCACTTCCAGGCCAAATGCCACTGGACCAGTGTTGGCAGCTGCCTGCACAGCCTAACAGAAGCGACCAGATACACAGTTACTTGATACCAAATACTCATATCTCAAACTACATCAAAGGCACATCATTTCAACGAAGGATACTTCCCGAGGGAACTGAAGCTGGAAGAATCCAGAAAATATCTAGGCTTCAGTAAATATTCATTAGCTAAAGCGAGTAAATGGAAACGTTTACCTTTTTTTAATTAGGCTCCAAAAACAAGGGTATATTTTGTGATCTTTGCTCACACAATAACTGGACACCTGTGTTTACCTTGTGTCCCAGATTGTGCAAGCCCTCGAGCAGTTTGTGGATGCGGGCGGCGTCCAGAGGCCTGGCCATGTAGTAGGAGGAGAAGAGAGCGAGGATGGGTTGCTGGAATGCCGGTGCCTGGAAGTGGTATGCCCAGTGCAGCACAGCACCAGCACTGGGACTGCTGTCCAGGAACATAGTCACCAGAGTGGAAAACAGAATGTCTTTCACCGGAGAAGAGCCAGCAGAGGAGGACGAGACTCCCACACTGGCATCGTCAACCTAATCAACATTCGACATAAGAAACGACTACCGATACTCAATTATGACGAATATTCTCAGCAAGCGACAACATGCAAGATGTTTGATCGCTACGTCAAATTAACCGAGATGAGACAATTTACGTTAATCTTTTCGGGACTTCCAAATTGAGTTAACATTTATTAAACACAGAGGCGAAGTTGCACTTCGCATACACAAGCAAAAATATGACCGGTAACTCTGCTGGGTAAAACTGAATGAGTAAGACTTTGAGTCTACAAAATTTCTTAAGAGACGTACGCCAATTACGAGTCTATATAAGTGCTAACTGACGCAAGCCAATTATGACGCATTAGCAGCACCAATTTGAAAAAAAGGAATTTACCAAGTAACATGCCTCAATTTATAGATCAGACACATTTTAACTAGTATACGAAAAATTTCATTAAAAACATCCGACCCTACCCACATTCAAACCCTCTTATTTTGTTGCGGGTCTTCTTCCCTAGCTCTACGCTACAGATCCACGATGATTTGCAGCTTCTTGTAATATAATAGTCTGTGTCAGGCGCGGATCTAGGAGATTCTCGAAGGGGGGATTTTCAAAAAGAAAAAACTTTTGTGGACCTTGAGCTCTGATTGATCAAATCACTATAAATACCCTAATTTGACGGCGTTTTTTAGGCACTTTTCGGAAAATCGCGACTTTTTGAGCTCTGATTGATCAAATCACTATAAATACCCTAATTTGACGGCGTTTTTTAGGCACTTTTCGGAAAATCGCGACTTTTTCGGTACGCCCCCCATCAAAACTAATGTATATTGGTGCCAAAGGCGCCTTTAAAAAATTTTTAGGGTCAGTCGGCCAAAAATGGATATCTCAAAATAAAACAAAGGGTTGACCCTTTGGGTCGACAGGGCCAAATCCCTGAGGGGATTCGACCCTCTCAAAATGAACACATTTTGTCGCAACAATATTTGCGACTTAGGTTGGAAAAAAGAGGGGTCATACTATCACACAAACTTTGCTTGTAAAATGTTTAACCCACGAATAGGAAAAAAAAGAATCTGATCTTGTTCTGGATGAGGAACTCGCATTTAGGAATTTGACCGCTTAACGCTACGAAGTGTCGCATATTTCCCATTGCCCTCCAACCAATCCTCATGCATAAATGTGGAAAAAGCGCGACATGTGAACGGGGAAAGGACAGATGAGTCGTGAACGACGTCTGCTTACATGTAGGAGGGTGAAGAAAAGTACGTCTGGACAGTTCTTGACAGGGTAGTTGAAGAGAGAGCGAACAGAGTCGAACAGTTTGGAGTTTGAGGCCGCAAGTGGGGAGCCAGCACGCAACAGACACGCCAGCAGATCCACACACTTCCTAAACACACACGCACTTACTCAGTCAGCCACTCCTGTTAACCAACACCAACCAGTTCCAATTGGGCAGGATTAATCCACGCATTAATATTACCAGGTGGCGATGGGTGGCTTAGCAATCTGGTTCTCATCGAACAGCTTGCTCTCCGCGGTGCTCAACAGTTTGGCTGGAAATAGTCCGAAGCTGAACGAGTCCGTGGCCCTGGGATCGTAGCTCTGGATTAAGGCCTCGATCCACGACAGCTGGAATTGAACATTGACTGCATTATTTACTGCATTTAACAGCACTACATGTTTCCTTTAAACTGGTAGTAGAACAGAACATCTCTCCTTGCGACTCACCTGTCCCCTAATATTTGACCATTGAGACAACAAGAAGTCGATGGGGAAGTTAGTCCAGTTGTCAGCCGCAGAGCCCATGTTCATAGCCTCCATGGCGCCCATCACAATAGCCAGTGACTCTGGCCCTCTCACAAGGAACTGATCGTTATCCAGTTGTTTGACCACCTGAGCCCAGTTCACTGTCTTCACGACGCCTTTCACAGCCGCCACAAACACACGTGGATTCCAGCCTGCAGCCGAACAAGTGGCCTTGGACGCATCCAGTCCCTGTTCCAAACTGGAGTTGGACCAGCCAGAGCTGGCCAGCGACTGCAGTTGGACATCGTTGGCCACATTGATGGCCATGGAGAGGTTGGTCATGCGTGTGATGACCAGAGCCACCTGGTAGTCGGACACTCTGTGCACTCCGAACTCCTGCAACACCTTGATGACGTCATCGCCACTGTGCAGAGAAGTCGGGCCCAAGTTCTCGATCACACTGGCCAAACTCATCTCAGCCTAGACGAGAGACGCAACGATTTACACACGCACGACAATACACACATCAATAGAGCAACCCGCGATTGGGGCCAGCTTACCATAGTTGCTGTGTTGGCAGACAACACAGTGTCCAGAGAAGTGCCCTCTTTGTCGTACAGGGCAGGTGCCAGTACACAACTTTTCTTGGGGAAGTCTGAAGCACACAACACATGTATTGCACTACACACCGATGCTCATCGATAAGAATTATTGGAAAGGAATTTAATATCGATATTCATCAGCCCAAACACAGATCCTTTTTCAGTTCAAAGTCAAACTACCAACATGGTCTGAATTGAGAGCCACTTACGATTTGCATAAAAACGTACCGTTACATTTAGTATTGTTTTCGAAAAATAAAACTAGAAATCACATTCTCGCATGCTTTTAAACAGAGGCGAAGCAGAGCTTCGCACCACATGTGACAGAAAATTTAATGAATCTCACTACATGGAGAAGAACCGACAAATAAACAACAAACTTCCAAATAAATATTCTCAAAAATTATAAAATCATATAAAACCCTGGAGCTGAAAAAATGCACCTTTGAAAATTTTACGGACAGAAGCAAGGCGAAGGATCGCGCTGCATGCTATAAACCCATGCATAGCAGGATAAATTATCCGACAAAAATATCCGAGGTGATAACTGTAGAAAAAATTCGAAAAAAAAAGAAAAACTCCATTCATAAAATAAGTCTAGTAGAAAAATGAATATTAAATAATTATCAAAACAAAAATTATAGAGCGGTAAATAGCTGACAATTCTTGAGGAGTCACAGGTTGAGCCGGAAAAAAGATTTTATTATAACTTACAAACTCAAGTTATCTTCAAAACACTTGGATAAAAATTTTTTGCTCCTCAAGCTTCTCAAGGAAAAAGTATGACAAGATCAACCACTTGAATGGATACTACCGTGACCTAGCACATGAACTGAGAATACCTTGTTTCGGCTTTAAGTATTTTGACTATGGGAAGCATACAAGCTGGGACGGGTTACACCCCGAACCTTGTCACATTCGAGTGCTTGCAGCTGACTTCAGAATGGCCTTCAAAAATCTGTCAAAGAAACGTCATCGATGAAGGTAGGATATATGGGACAACTTTTAAAATTTCAAAAAGTTTTGAGCCAATCATGATATTGATTGAGGAAAACTGAAATTTTTGATTTTATGACTGTTTGCCCTCTTTGACGTACAGGGCAGGTGCCAGTACACAACTTTTCTTGGGGAACTCTGAAGCACACAACACATGTATTGCACTACACACCAATGCTCATCAATAAGGATTATTGGAAAAAAAATTAATATCGATATTCATCAGCCCCAGCATAGATCCTTTCTCAGTTCAAAGCCAAACTACCAACATGGTCTGAATTGAGAGCCACTTACGATTTGCACACAAAACGTACCGTTACATTTAGTATTGTTTTCGAAAAAAAAAATTACATTCTCGCATGCTTATAAACAGAGGCGAAGCAGAGCTTCGCACCACATGTGACAGAAAATTTAATGACTCTCACTACATGGAGAAGAACCGACAAATAAACAACAAACTTCCAAATAAATATTCTCAAAAATTATAAAATCATCTAAAATCCTGGAGCTGAAAAAAAAACACCTTTGAAAATTTTACGGACAGAGGCAAGGCGAAGGATCGCGCTGCATGCTAAAAACCCATGCATAGCAGGACAAATTATCCGACAAAAATATCCGAGGTGATAACTGTAGAAGAAATTCGAAAGAAAAAAGAAAAACTCCATTCATAAAAATAAGTCTAGTAAAAAATGAATATTAAATAAGTATCAAAACAAAAATTATAGAGCGGTAAAAAGCCGACAATTCTTGAGGAGACACAGGTTGAGCCGGAAAAAAAGGTTTTATTATAACAACTTACAAACTCAAGTTATCTTCAAAACACTTAGATAAAAAATTTTTGCTCCTCAAGCTTCTCACAAGGAAAAAGTATGACAAAATCAACCACTTGAATGGATACTACCGTGACCTAGCACATGAACTGAGAATACCTTGTTTCGGCTATAAGTATTTTCACTATGGGAAGCATACAAGCTGGGACGGGTTACACCCCGAACCTTGTCACATTCGAGAACTTGCAGCTGACTTCAGAATGGCCTTCAAAAATCTGTCAACGAAAGGTTATCGATGACGGTAGGATATATGGGACAACTTTTAAAATTTCAAAGAGTTTTGAGCCAATCATGATATTGATTGAGGAAAACTGAAATTTTTGATTTTATGACTGTTTGCCCTCTTTGACGTACAGGACAGGTGCCAGTACACAACTTTTCTTGGGGAAGTCTTCCGCATCAGTAATATTCTCGAAAAAAAACAGGTACCTCGGCTTTAGCTGCGCCACTAGTTAAAATAATCGGGACTTGGATTTTTTGAGACATCTCGGAAAACTTTCACTTATCGCAAAAAATTGGTTTTTCACGAGAACTTCCAAGGAAAATCTGCGTGCCTGCAAACTCAACTAGTTACTTGTTTTGAATTACTTTACTTTCTACCGCCTTTTAACCTTATTTCACATTCTAATGGGAAAATTTTGACCCAGATTTTTGAATTTTCCATTTTCTTGGAAACTACTCTGCCAAATTGGAGCTCAAAACTTTGATTGAAAAAAGAGGTTGTTTCTAGGCATAAGTTTCTAAGTATAAGCGGCGACTTTTTATTGACAAAATTTATGACTTTTCTCGAAGACTACACTCCAAAATCTGAGATTGGGGTTCAACCAAACGACCAGGTTCTCTTAATCTTACATAGGTAGCTACGCCCTAATTCTTTGTAGTAAAAATTATGGCCTTCGAAAAAAGCATTTTATGACAATTTGGTTGTGTTTCTAAAACATGTTCACTTTTCTACAAATAAAATTTAAATCTAGGATTAAGGGTTCAACCAAAATAACAGGTTAATGGATCCTGCTCACATAAACTGAAATGCCGTGTCATGATCTCTGAAATTGAGCAGCTCCATTAAGTATTTGATAAGGAAATATGTTTTTGGAGGTGGTGCTAACCGTTTTCGAGTGAGTCGAAGAGAGACTTGTGCAATTCTGCTGGCAGTTCGATGCTTCCCTCTGCCACCAGACGCAACAGCTGGTAGAGAATGCGCACTGGAGTGTCGGCGAAACCCCCCGAGTGCTCGTGCAGCTGCTGCCCTGATTGGTAGCTGCTGCTGTCACTGTATGCACGTGCAAAGTCGCCCACCTTCAACTTGAGGATCTCGAAGGCACAGCTGCGCAACTGCACCTGGGTCACTGCTGGTGCTGATTGAGGAGGGGCAGTATGGGGAGGAGAGAGGGAAGAGAAAGATGTGTGGTCTAGAAGGGCAAGGCTGACAGTTATCTCCTGCAGTTGGGTGAGATGCAGGGTCTTGAAGATCAGCAGGAGCGTCTGGGTTGAACACGCCGCCTTGTTCTGACAAAAAACCACCAAATTTAGCCAACGAAAAACTGGAAAAGTGTTATGCAGCCCAAAACGACCCCGTATTTTCCAAACACTCCATTTTCAAAGAACATATTTTAATGCTAGGCTTCTTTAATTTCTATTTTATGCAACTATCGTTTCTATGCATCTAAATCAAAAGCGTTTTTTGTGCAACTGAAATCAAGTTGAAGGCGGCATTGGAAAGTTGCGACCGCTTGCTCCGCTACTGAAAAAATTGGTGAGTGTCGAGAAAAACCCTATTTGAAATTCTTGAATTTTGGTCTAACTTTGAACGAAGGTAAACGAGCAGATTTATTTGTTTTTTAACCAAAAAAAATACCATTAAGAATTATCGGGATGTGTCGAATGATATTTAAAATAATTTTTGAAACTTTTGAATCGAGTTTTAGTTTTTTTTTTTCAAGTAACTTTTCAACATAAACCGTTTCCCGGTTTGCCTACTTAACTATGACTGTCGAATAATTACTCTTGAGGGTGTTGCAACCGGGTACTAGACTTTATTTCCCGTAACCAATTTTGTTCACATAATTGTCAATTTAGTAGGAGGCAGTTTTCACCTATGGTTGGTATGCTCAGGTTCTTACAATTGACTTACCATGAACCAAAAAATATAAAATAATTATTTCAGTCCACAATCTGAACGTAATAGAGCAATGATATTTATCAATTAGAAAGCGCGCGCCGAGATTTTTGCGAAAAAAAACTCGACATCTCCAGACAAAATTTAAAATTTTTGTTACCATTCTCTTACCATTACACAAACTGTGAAACCTTACCAATTCTATTTCCTATCTTAATACTCAATGTTAATACATAGCATGGCACACCCTCAAACTATAACGTATTTTAAGAAATGGGGCCTGACATGCCCCCCCCCCCCCCTCAGCTCCAACATCTACTACGCAGCACAGTATGTTCCGACCAGTCTTAAATAAAGGGAAAAATTGTTTTTTTTTGCATGCTGTTAAAAAAATAAAAAATCTGAATTAAAAAATAACATTTAGGCATGTTTGATAGTCATAGTAAAATAGGTCAATTGAAAAACAGTTTTTGAAAAAAATGACTGGAAAAATTGAAAGAAAAATTGTTTCAATTGTTTTGGAAAATTTTTTTTTGAGTTTTCATGTTTTTGGTTCCCAAAATTGCGATAAAACTCCAGAAACTACCTTTACTAGAAAAAAAACTAAGTTTTCACGGCTAAAATTAAAATTACGTAAGCATATACTGTCGCCGCATTAGCTCGAAATTCGACCAAAAATCAAAAAATTCAAACCGGTTATTCTCGACCCTGTGAAAAAAAAATCAAATTTTTCTAATGTCATTCGATCACGACTGAAATGGCTTTATAATGACATATCACTCAACCCAGTCCAATCATTTTTTGTTGTTACAGTTTCATCTTGAACTTATTTTATATAATTGTAATGTTTGTGTATTTCAGAGAGGTGGGGTTGTAATTAACGTATTTACTAATACCAATTGTATCACATGGTAGCACAATTATGGCCTCTGGATGAAAATTACAAAACCCCACCGACATGGGAAACTGACAAGCCGTACGAGGTTTGACGACTGGAAGTAGAATTCTGGTTAGCAGTGACGAAGCTGCAGAAAGGGAAACTTGGTCCGGCAGTGTTGCTGTCTCTTGCTTGGTCCTAAGCGCGACGTTGCGCTTTCTATACCAATTGCGGATTTGAAATCAGACAAAGTAATCATGATTATTGAATAAATTGTGTGATGCCCTCGGCAAGGAGACTGCTGATCAAACATATGAAATGTATGAAATGTTTGAGGCCTTCAAGAGAGGTTCCAGAACTATTGACGAGTATATTGCGCAGTTTGAGTTGCTGATAAGCAAGTTGCAGAAGCACGGAATTGAGGTACCTGACGCTTTGCTTGCCTGCAAGTTGTTGTACGCGGCTGAAATTGACAAACGAGATACAAGGCTGGTGCTTTCGGCAACCGAAGCTTGAGTTTGCTGCTATGAAGAAGTCTTAAAAGGATTTTCTCGAACAGCGATTTGAATGAGAAATCCGAGTCTTTAGATGTCAAACGGGAGCCCGTTTTTGCCGCCTCTTATCGAAACAACGACTCTCAGAATAGTAGTCAATCACAAATGAGAGCTACAAATCCAAAGGGAAAAGAAGGCAAAGTTCTGACAAGTCATAACTGTGGTTCCTTTCTTCACTTCGTGAGAAACTGTCCAGATGCGAAACAAAAAGAGGACGCTCTTGTTACAGAAACTACCAAAGAAGATGAAGAAGAGGTAGTTTTATCACGTTTTCGGCCAGTCACACGGATACTGTATCTCACTCGCCAGGTTCTGCAATTTTACACACAGGTTGCACGGCGACACTATGTTGAATTCAATGGTTGGAGCGTTTTCAGTCCAGATTTTTGACTGGCCAAGACGTCAAGTTCGAGAAAACCTCTTCTGTTTTCATTTTTGATGGCCTGAGAAGATAAAACCTATGTATGCGGCTGTTCTTCCCGTTACATGTAATACTTGTGATACCCGCTGTTCTTGCGTGTACTTGTGATACCAGTACCTGGTTCTGATCAAAATGTACAGTGGAAGCTTCACAAATGTGCCTACGGTGTTGCCAGGCACTGGTTTGAACGCGTCCAAGGAATTAATATCCACCGGTTTCAAGCAGTCACGTTTTGATTTGTGTTTCTGTATTTTCAAGACAATAAATTACGTGGCTGTGTTTCTACCCATTTGGATGACTTCTGGTGGGCTGGCTCGGTTGAGTTCGGGAAGCACATATCAGAGCGTCTGCAATCTATTTTCGACATCAAGTCAACGACTTTCCTTCCATTTCGATATCTCGGACTCGATATTGCCAGACTCGACCGGTACTTAACGATCGATCAAGTGCATTACGCTAAGGATGTGTCAGAGATCGAAGAAAGCAGTATTGGTCCCGGCAATGACATTAGAAGCCAAATGCGTTTAGCTTTGGGGAAACTGCAGTGGGTTGCGAATCAAACGGGTCCAGATTTGTCGTTTTCGACTAGCTCTGTTAGCGAAAACTTGCACCGCCGATTTGAATGATTAATGGACTCTCAACAAAGTTATACGAAGAGCACAAGCTACTACGTCTCACTGACAACTACGGTACATGAAACTGCAAAACCGCGAGAAGTGGAAACTTATTGGGTTCTCGATGCTGCTCTGGGCAATTTGCACGATGGAGGCACACATGGGGGGTTTTCTTGTGTTTTTAGAGCAAGAAGGTACCTGATACTTGGTTTATTCAACAAGAACGGCTCAGGATAAGTGATTACGTGTCGATAAAACGTTTTTACGCTCCGTGATTGATGAGCGAGAAGTCAAGTATTTGCGCTGGGTACCCTCTAATCATCAACTTGCCGATTGCCTGACTAAATGCAACCAAAAGAGTTGAGAAATGCTGCTAAAAATCATGAAAAACTGTCGTTTTCCCTTCGATTTAACGTAATATCACTCAAGGATTACGTTTTTTCTGTTTTTCCCGGAAACCGGAAAGAAATTGCGTTAGTTTTACCTTTTTAAACCATTTATTTATCAGGGAGAAATGGTGGGTTAATTTCCAGGAAGTTTGCGTTTCAATTTTACAAGATGTATTTGACGCAGTTATTCAACTTGTTATTTTTACTAGTTAGACGCGTAAATTTTACCTTTAAAACCATTTTTTTACCTGGTAGAAATGGTGTGTTAATTTTTAGGAAGTTTGCGAGTCAATTGTACAAGAAGATCTATTTGCAGCTGTTATAATGTATTCATTTAACGCGTTCAACGCGCAGCATTTGGTATGAAATTAGATGGATTTTTTCGCACGGTTGTGATTAATTTGATTTTCATTGAATTACACACCAGCGACAGAGCAGGTTAAATAGATTCGCTACACGCGAGCATCCCTTTCCGCAGGTTTGAAACGACCGCTTCAACCATTTAAACTGATGGAGATATTGTTACAGTTTTATCTTGTACTTGTTTTCATATAATTGTCATGTTTGTTCTTCAGAGAGTTGGTGTTGTGATTACCGTAGTTTTTAATACCAATTTCATCACATTTGTGCTGCCTGATTTTCCGTGAAAAAAAAAACAAAAAGAGATATCTAAAACACACGAATACAAAGATCCCCCATTTTCAATGGTCGGAAAAAATAAATCGTATAGTTGAATAGAGACAAATTCCGTAGAAACATACAACGGACCATATGCTCAGACTCAGAGCTGCTAGTATAATGATTCGGATTTATTTTGTTGCAGAAGTTGTTAGCCGAAAAACGTCTATATTCCAGTTTGATAAATAAATACAGTAAATCTTCGAGGAAAAAAGTGAAACACTCTTTTTGACAAGTTGTTTAGCTGGAAAAATTCTAATTTCGAATTGACCACGCTTGCTAAGCGTGAAAAATACTAAACCAAAACCATTTCCACGAAACCTTCTGTGATACTTCTGTGGACAGTAAACAGTAATTTTTATTACAAAAGAAAACACAAAAAAAAGTTTTTTTAAAAAAAAAAAAAACCTGTTGTCTTCTTTTCTGCATGTTGTGATAAAAAAAACTTAGATACAAAATAAAATGTAGGCATACTGGATAGTCATAGTAAAAAAGGAAAATTGAAAGACAGTTATTAAAAAAATGACTGGAAAAACGGAAGGAAAAACTTATGAAAAGTTCAAATTTTTTTTGAGTTCTCAAATTTTTGGTTACCAAAATTTCGCAGAAAAAACTTTAGCTAGATTAAAATTAAGTTTTCACGGCTAAAATGAGCTTTAGTAAGCATATACTCACGTCGTATTAGCTCGAATTTCGAACAAAAATCAAACAAAAACTCAAACCTGTTTTTCTCGACATTAAAAAATATTTCAAAATTTTCTAATGTCGTTCGAATCAAGACTAAAATGGCTTTTAAATGTAATATCACTCAGCATATTTCAGTCAATGTTTGTGTTACCTGATTTTGCGTGAAAAAAAAACCAAAAGAAATATCTAAAATACCCGAATACAAAATGCCTCCCCATTTTCAAATGTCGGAACAAAAACAAATTTCGTATAGTTGAACAGAGATATTCTGTGAAAACATACAACGGCCCATATGCTCACACTCAGAGCTACTGGCATATTGTTTCGGAGTAGTTTTCTTGCAGAAGTTATTACCCGAAAGAACGTCTATATTCCAAATTGATGAACGAAAAAAGGTAAATATTCGAAAAACATTCCGTAAAAACATACAACGGACCATTTGCTTAGACTCAGAGCTGCTGGTTAAATGATTCGAATTTAAATTGCTGCAGAAGTTGTTACCCGAAAAAAATCTATATTCCAGTTTGATAAATAAATACAGTAAAAATTCGGGAAAAAACCAATGACTCTTTTAGACCAGTTGTTGACCTTGAAAAGTCTACATTTCGACTTGAGAACGCTTGCTAAGGGTGAAAAAACTTAACAGATCAAAAACTTTATCATGAAACCTTCTGTGATACTTGGACAGTAAGCAATAATTTTTCAAGTTTTTTGTATTACTTCAAATATAAAACAATCGCTATTCAGTTGACACTGAATTTTCATTCGAGTTGCAATCTAAAAGAGAAATGGACAACAACAATTCCCACACAGAGCGAAAGAGAAAGATTGTGATTTATGTCTTGCACTGGTGGTGTGTATCGGATTGTACTGTTTGTGAAGATGGTGATTGGTGTGGTGTGGTGAAGTAGTTCGTTACCTGTGCGAACAAGTGTTCTAGGGCGGGACAGAGTAGGGAGGAGAAGCAGAGTCTGTTGGATAATCTGTCCAGGTGCTCTCTCAGAAACTTCAGCTGAAACACAGACAAAAGTTGCCATATTCTACAATATTCACTTGCGTCAATCAACCAGTCAAGAGACGACATTTTCTGCCAGAATCTGCACTATTTTGTGCTCCTGCAGAGCATTGTGATTGAGAGAGAGAGAGAGAGAGCTTCCTGATTACTCCCCTTACCCGGCTAGTGTCTGCTGCAACTGTCTCTCCACTCTGCGAGTCAATCGGAATGTCACTCAACAATAGCTTCACCAGGTACTGTGCTTCGTGTAGTGTACAGCTCACAGTCAGCTGAAAAGTATGAAACTTCTTATACATTTCTGCCATTCTGTGATCTCAATAATTTATTCGAGTTCAATAATTGATGAATTTTGTTATCAATTTTATAGATTCACAAATCAACAAAAAATACACTACTCTTTGAATTTCATAACTATTATATCATTGGCTCTTATTTCACAAAACTAAGTCAGTTGGAGAAAACTAGGTCTCCGGGTATTTTTTTTGAAAACGCTGGGATTAAAACCCACCTTCGGAACAAACAGTGATTAACGTTTTTCACGCACTTTCCGCTTTATTAATTTAAGAACTTATTTTGCCTTCCTTTCAGCAAACGAACTTGAATATAACTTGAAAAAAGTTGTAATCCAAAAAACGCTAAAAATGCGTAATGCCTAATGTCAAATTATCGACAAGTATTTAAACTAAAATAGATTACGTCATGTTCTGCCAAACAATTTGACTAGTTTGATTTCTTCTCAAATTTAACAACAACTTTAAGATTTGTTTTTCAATCCCAATGTTTTTAAAAGAGAGAAAGAAGGCTGAGATTCAATTGCTTGCTTGACCTTCAAAAGAAAACTTCTGAGCTGAAACTTTCGCTTGATTTTTGCACTGAATTTCGCCTTTTGGATAAAGTATAAATAAAGCAAGGTTTCTTGCTTTATTTATACTTGTTATTTAACGGCCATAGATGCTGAGAACCCAACAAGGTCTAATCAACAGAACATGATGGAGGAAATAGAGGCCCTCAAACGTGAAAATGCTGATCAAAGACGGGATATCAAGTATTTAAAAAAAAAACAAGACGACCTGGGTGTGATTCAAGATGGCAATGGCAATGGCAAGGGTTAGAGCACTAGAAAGGTACTCGAAATCGTGAAACCCCTTTGCTGCACGAGCTAGAGCAAACCTGGTGAATGACGTGGTCAACTTTTTCTGGAATTACAAGAACAAAAACAACATCAACCCAGACGGAACTAAAGCCTGTCACGAATTACCTGGGGACTTCTATGGTTCTTATCCCAGTATTATAGAGAAGTTTGAATACTATTTATGGCCTGAGTGAAAATATTTATGGCCTAGATGGCGAAAAAATTACAGATTCCGGAGTTCTCAATTAAAGGGGTTATCACTCATTTGAACATTGCTGCAGTAAAAAAGAGGAGATGGCGTTGGCCTTCATCTAAGAGCGGATATAATTTTTTCGATAGTCAAAAATCTGTTTAAAGAAGTAAAAACTAATATTAACATGAGCAGAACTTAACGGTATTCGGCATAACTTAATCTGATAATACAACTTTTATAATACAAAAAGGTGGTAGGTTCAATTTAAATAGCTGGATCGCTTTTCGTTATACTTCGCACATTGTTTATTTCAAAGCCCAAATTTTTTGGCGAAAAAAAAACAAACCTTGAAAAGCAATTCATCCAGCAGAGTAATGTATTTACGAAAACTAACTTAGTAGTACTAGTACCGTTGACTGAAACAATAATGACATATTATGCATTATAGTTCTCAAACTTATTACTTCCGTGAGAATTAGCCCACATATTGAACACAATTTCTTCCAAAATGTCTTTATTAGGGACCAGCATTTTTGAGAGACCAAAAAAGTGAACTATTACCCAATGCTTGTGTAAAAGACTACATCAGACAAGCTGATGCTTTAAGATGGCCAAGGAGACCATTGGACGTGAGATCGGTCCAAAGAATTATTAGACTACACATCTCTGAATCTTTCAGAACGCAGCATGACGACATGGCAATTGGGAGTTACAGCTACTGTTATTAAAAAGTTTTGCGTCGGACGACTTTTTGCTGCACACGACCATTTTGAGGCACAATTCTTTGACAGAGATGTCGATTCTTTCTTATCTAAGACGACGGAAATTGTCTCATTTACAGGCGGAATACTTATGTACACTGTTATGTGTCGCCCCCTATGTGCTACAAGCAGGGGCACACAAGGGTAGATGTAAGATTATTACGGCATGGAGTACTGTCAAAAGGATCAAGCCTCAAGACAAGATAAAGAGCTACCGACCCGTGTCCCTCCTCTTCGTTGCCGCGAAGATTCTCGAAACGATGGTGACACGCAGGCTTAAGGCGGGTTCCAGCAAAAGCGCAGCACTCTAGACGTCATTGCTAGTGTTGCGCGGAGGTCCTTCGACCCGCTACAGAAGCGCAAACGGACCTTGATTATCAGAGCAGACTTTTCCGCGGCCTTTGACAAAGTGTGGAGAGAAGGGTTACTTTGCGACCTCGCGCGCTACGGCATCCCGAACAGGCTCCTCAGCTGGATCAGAGCCTGGCTGGCCGAAAGGAAAGCAGCCGTCCTCTGGACCAACTCCTTGAATAGCTTCCGCTCCTTCCAGCATTGTATACTCCTGAATACAGTCCGTTTTCTCCCCTCCTGTTCGTGATCGCCGCGTCTCTCATTACCAAAATCAAGCACACAAATCCGAACCTTATCGTCGACGTCTTCGCCGACGACCTCACGAAACTCTCCCAAGCCGTCACTCCTCGAGAAGCCGCCAACAACGAGCAACCCGTTCTAGACCGCATCGGGTCCTATGCCAAATTTCATTACATGAAGATCAACATGGATGCTGGCAAAACAGAAGCCTTGGTCATCTCCGTGGACCCCAGGGAAACAGGAAAAGCAAGACCTCCCCTGTACATCGAGGGTTCCCAGTTACGCTGGGGATCAAGCTGGATCCTCAGGCCACTTTCACTGAGCAAGCCCGTCTTGCGAAGAACCGCATGACAAACCTCTGCAACATCTTGCGGTCCTTGAGGGGCAAGAGCTGGAACCTTCATTCAGCGGACCTCCGTCACCTGTATAAAACTTACGTGCCCCCGCCTTCAACCACTTTCTCGGCGACTCAGCAAAGCAGAGCCTCGAAGTAATCAACAACTCCGCCGCTCGGGCCATCACAGGCACCTACGGCGGAACCTTTACAAGTCAACAAAGCTTGCGGCAAGTCTTCTAAAATCTTATCTCTTATTAAAAGAAATGTCAGTCTCAAAATAACGACCTGTCACCGCTTGGACTTATATAAATCCATGGTTCTGCCAGTACTAAAATATGGCTCAATTGCCTGGTTTGCATCAAAGTCCGACCTCAAAGCAAAAGAGACCATACAAGAGCGCGCCACTCACTGGATTAAGCACTACTCTGACTGCAACTGTATCCAATGTCTTGAATGCCTAAACATTCTCCCATTATCCTTGAACCTACAAATTTACGATGTTTAGCGCTTATCAAGCTAACCTGCACCAATTCTACTTTTCCATGTTTAAACTTACAGTACTTAGTTGGGCTTACAGTACTCGTCATCAATCGAGAAGCCACCAAACAACATTCGACTTACCTCCCATTGAGAAAGAGTTCCAGCGACAAAACTTGTCAAATCGTGCACCTCGATTGTACTCATTCTCAGCCGCCATATCAACCTCGACAGCACAACCGTGAAAGCCGACCTTCTCGGTTACTTCTGGTACTACTTTAAGGCAGCTACAGCGAATTATACAGCTGCTCCTGGTCTTTCGCATGCACTTGTTGCACTTGTAGACTACGAATTTCATAAGCTTTCCTGCCCAGGGGCTCACGCCCTACAATCTTTTGGTTGTAAATATCTGATACTTATTATAATAATCATAATAATAATCATAATAATAATAATAATAATAATAATAATAATAATAATAATAATAATAATAATAATAGTAACCATAATAAAAATCATAATAATAAAAATCATAATAATCATAATCATAATAAAAATAATTAGAAGAGAAGCCGACCTTCACTCTCTAGAGCTCGGCACCGAGGCAGAAGGCACCAAAATTTTCTGAAAGATAGACAATCTCCACCCCGATCATCACCCCAACCCGCTCATCAAGACTCAAGGAAGACCTCGCCTCAGGTCCAGAGGTGACCAGCAGTATCGCACAGACTGGAGAATCGTCTGTAGCAGGATGTTCGAGCAAAACCTCCAGGGAGCCTGCTTCAGATACCATATGCGAGAAGAGAATGAAGCAAGAACCTTAGAAAACTACTCGCACAACACGCCCGCCGACTGAACCCACCGAAAAGCGACCAACGGGAATACCCTAAATTTTGACAGAAACCGATCAAGACAAGAAGAAAGAATCTGTAGCCCATAGACACGGAGAGCCGAAAACGACACCGGCCGCTACTGCAACCATGCCCCTGAAAACACCAAGTTGCGATACCAAACCAAAATCAATCTATCAAAATGAATCAGTCTAATTTCGAAACAGTCAATAGAATGTGAAAATCGCCTTCAAAAACTCCAAGCAGAAACAAAGCCAAAAATAACTTGAAGCCGAAAAAAATCAACAATTAAGACCTAAAAAATTAACAATGCCCCCTCGCCCTTAAAACACACATATATATGATCGTCAAGTCAAACAATACGAGGATATCAAGCCGATATGATAAAGGCCGAACCCTATCAAGCCCATTCAAAAGCTCGTATGGAAGATTGGTCCCTCCAGGTCACTTGAAATATAATTGAAGTACTTCAAGAAGCAAAAGGAAAAAAATCCATTAAACTTGCGAAACTTAGTTACTACCTTAAAAAAAATTTGCTGTCTGTCTTTATAAGTGAACATTGGCAGTTTTTCGGGACTATAACTCTAAGCGAAGTTTATAATGGAATCATTTCTTCTAAGCAAGTGACTAAAACTCTCATTATTTCTATCAACATTATACTTTACTCTTCCATATCAAGAAAACTCCGAGGATTTTGACTGGATAATGTGATGAAGGGACTCCTGACTGTAACCTCGGTTACTATGATATTTTCGACTTTCTGATTGTTTTGAAAAAAGAAAAAGAATAAAAAGTGACGAAAAGAGTGAACAAGGACATCTTTTGTTGATCGATTTCAAATAAACAAATCAAGAAAGGGGTCAATTGAATATACAAATCAAGAAATATTTTTCAGAAGAAAAAAATTATAAATTATTCTTACCGATGATAAGTCACTTTGCGATCTGGGCTTGTCTAAAGATCTGACAAGTTTATTGATCAACTTCAATGCGGAGACATTAGCTTTCATTATAAGACATAATCCAAAAACTGACTTTAACTGAAACTGAAATGACCACTAAGTTCTTGATAGCATATCATTAACTCAACTAAAACAATATTAGGAAACAATTCTTTATTCATTTAGACCTGTTGCGATACAAAAAACAGCTTGAAAAAAAGGCCGACAGAAAAAGAAAAAAAAACAGCAAACAAAACTTCAATCTGAAATTTTCGCACAAGAAGAATTATTGGTGTGAATCGTTCATTTAACGAATTGGAAAGGGTTAATTTGAGACGACGAATAAAAGTAACATTCGACCGGAAGTACATATCGACAGAAAATAAAGCTAGGTTGTGTGCCATTCTGCCAGACTGGCACAGCGCAACCTTCCGGCGAAACACGAAAAAAGGCCTTAACGACGAAAAAGTGTAACATTCGCCCGGAAGATACATATCGACGGAAAACAAAACTAAGTCTTAAGACGACTGACTAACGTCTAAACAGAGCTTTGCATGCTTTTCACCGTCTCTACCAAGCCAGTACTTTTCGGTGGTCTTTTCTAACATCGGGTCGACAAAAACGTTACTGCTTTCGGCTTCGGTCAAAACACTCAAATTAACTAGATTACATGCAGAAATAGTGAGCTCATGGCTGGGTCTCAGTATCCCCAGACCACGAGGTCACTCCTAAAAACAGGGCTATTACTATTTATCATATTACTATTATTTTTGTTCAGTAGATAAAAATCATCATCTCCATCGAAGATGGATCAACCCTTTCCCCCAACTCCTAGCTTCTCATCCTTATCAAAATGAATCTAGATATTAATTAAATTCAAGTCAGGACATGACAGGAAGCTAAAAGTTTTTGTAACAGGATAAAAGTTTCAGTTCCTTTACCCTTCCGGATTGATGAATCCGCTGGATCAAGCTCGTTAATCCTGATTTCCTCTTAATCCGGAAGGCCGTCTTTTACCCTTCACCGTTGTTCGCAACGGCCTTGGAGTGTTCTTCTGTTACTCTGTAACTCGTTGTCGTTTTCCGATCTCAATTTCGTAGTTGTTGTTAGCGCAGCTAATGTTGTTCTGTTTTTCTTTCTCGTTTTAACCAAAATGGCCGTTTCTGACGTTTCTCAGAAATATGACGTCATAATTCGAATTTTTGAAATTTTAAAATACCAGAATATTCTAGCCCTCACCGTTTCGCCAATCGTTCCAATAACCTTCTTAATTCTTAATAATCATCAATCCGGAAGGCTCGCTGCTAAAAATTCGAATTCTGCAGAGATTGCATTTTTCGCATTGTGGTCGAATGTCACATACTCCCCGGACAGTCCGGTCAATGTTCTCATTGAATCACGCAATGTTCGTAAAATGAATACAGTGTCATCGAACAGAATTTACAAAATGCACGAAATTACTTTTATCCAGGTCACACCGACTCACTGCAGAATACAAATGGCATCATACTACATCACTATAGCCTTCAAATTCTTTCATTAATCTACACATTGAGGATATGACCTAAGATAAAACATATTTTCTGACTTCCAGTGTCAATGTCCCGATTAAAACTTTTTCTCTTTGATCTAAGAGGTGTTGGCTTGCGGGACAGTCCTGCCAACCAACAAGCTAAAATTACACTACTACGCTTTTCCCTTCGGAAATCTTGCTTGTTATTGTCCTGAATATTAAAACTAAGAAACTTTGTGGTTAGAAAGAACAATGTAACAACCTCCCTCTTCAAGAGATTACTCAAGTCTCTCATGTCACCACAAAGTGATCAGTCTTCCTAAGTGATTAAAAACAATCATGCAGGCTGGAATATTTAAATATACTCTCCTCTTAAGCCTTTCTAAATAAAAATAAGTGTCTCTAAAGCCACTTCAACTAAAATCAAAATGCAAATTTATAAATGCAACGATTTCAAAACTCAACTAAATGTTTCAGTTTTCAATTACAACTTGGTTGCTTGGTTTCTCACTTGAGTTTTTCACACACATAAAACAATTCTGAGTTTTAACTTTTCTTCATCACTCCTTTGTTTTCTTCTTTTTTCGTCGTTTAGAAGTTCTAAAACTTCTAAATTCTTCTAATTTCGTTTCTTTTTTCATCTTGTCTTTCGGTCATTCGTCAATGTTCCATTTCTTCCTCCTGTGATACTGACTCCGCACTTTCGGTTTGCGTGTCTTGTAGCACATCGTTGGCTATCCTGACGCTGTTGGAAGCCGTCCTCAACACTTCTGCTCTTCTACCCTCTGTTTGCAGCAAAGTAGGGGATCCACGTTGGATTCTCTATTCCTGCAGAAGCTGTTGTGGAGACACAACGTCACGTTTCTCTCCAAATCTTCTTTCAGCATCTCTGCCTTCTCATTTCCACTACGCTCACTCGTCCTGGAAATTCTTTTCACAGCGGTGGTCACTGCATTCCGATGAGTCACGAGAGCTCGCTTGAAAGCTCTTGCCCCAATGTCCAGCTGATATTCACTGTACACTCTGCCATGCCTCGACATATGCTTTTTCGCATACTCGTACAACCATGCAATCATGTTAGCTCTGAACCATGGCATCAATCGTTTTCTTGCCCATATCTTCTTCACTTCCATCGGAATGTTTAGAACTTTGCATATTGTCTCAAAAAGATCTAAATCTTTTAGACAATCTAATTTCCGCAACTGTTCTCTCCGGCGCTTCCTGTCTATTGTTTTCTTTCACATGAGCCTCCAGCCATCGTATCGCCATCATAACTCCCACTATCACTAGTGTTATGGGCTGTGATGAGTCTGGTAAACCCATGGAGAGCAGCTCTCCAGAGTCCCAGATCAACATCAGATTACTACGCTTGGGATACCACCAGGTCTGCAGCAAGCAGTGGCAAGGAAACTCGTCATGTGTCAACATGATGCTCCTCCAATTACGTTTTCCCGAAGCTTCCAGCAATGGTTCCACTTCCATCATCACTCGGTGGACTTCATCATTCTCATCTACTGCATTGTAATCTGTGACAGTTGATCCTCTCTGTTTCTGTTTTTCAAAGTCACTGAAGTTCCCGCTCACATATCCCATGAACTTCTTTCCTAGTATTGACTCCAACCCTTCTTTGGTTCTCTCTGGAACTGCTGAGAACATCTTACATAGCAACTCGTAAGACTTCTCGGACATTCTCGCCAGTCTCACACACTTCGGCACTGAGAAGGCTTGATCCACAATCGTTCTTGTACTCTTCACGTCCACAGCTACGAAATGTACAGGATATCTGCTCTTGCACATTGGAGCCAACGTTGAACCCACCAAATATTGGGCTCCTGATGGTCTACAATAAGTTTCGCTGTGTCTGATGTTCATTTCTGTCTCGATTGCTTCCCTCCATTTTCCTATGTATTTCTGTTCAGTCTGCAGAACTCCTGGGAATTCTTCTACGCTGATGGCTGTGACCATCTCATGTTTCTGTTCTAGATTCAATAGTGACTCTAAAGAACCAAACATGCTGTAGAATCCTAGTGCAGTCACTAGATTCACATCGGTTCCTCCATGACAATCTGCTATCAGTTCCGTTTCCGTTCTTGCTTTCATCACTACGTTTCCAAATAATACTGTCAATTGCTTGTGTTGTTTCTCCAGGGTTTTCACACAGTCTAGACCTCCACAAACGTGACCCTCCAGTCCACAGACTTCCGCCAGACAGCTACCAGGTTTGACCCAGTCTTCTGGTCCCCAGCCAGGCAACTCCACGTTATCTTCTCCGTTGCTCTTAGAGGCTGTTATCATCACATTATATATGATGTTGAGGTAACGCAGGTTACAGTCTGCATTCAGTTCCCTCTGTATGTCTTGTGTCGCCCGTAATATTGAGTCAGCGTTGGGACTAGGACACCATGATGGCCTCATCAATTCCCACAGTGCCATCAAGCTAGTTCTCAGTAATTCATCTGAGAATCCCAACCCAAACTCCACTCTCTTGTCGGATTTCGGTACTGAAGGTGCAGTCACCTCTTCTTCCAAGACCAGTCCCAATTTGGCCTGTAGATTGTTGACGCTCTTAATCGTTACAATTCTGGATGTCCAGAATCTTAGTAACACCGCCTGCTGATAATCAAAGAAGCAAACGCGTATGTCTTCACTCAGGAAAGGATTGTACGCTATCCCTATGATCCCAGATACGTAGCTATATGATTTTTTCTTGATCGGTCCACAGTATTCACTGGATTTCGGCAATGCTCCCATAGATTCTTTAGTGAGTCTCAGCTCCTTGTTTGAGAATCTCCTGATTTCGACTATCTTTTTCATGGGTTCCAATTCCTCAGGTTCTTTCATGTTCACCCTCATCGGTTTACTTTGCTGCATATCCAGCAGTGCTAGCAAGAATAAGGCTTTCGTTCGCTCATCGCCTTCCCTCAACATTTTAACACAAGTGTTTAATGCAGGTACTGAAATTTGCTCTATCAGGAATCGAATGAAATAGAGAGCGTTTCTCCGCTTCGCACACGCTACTGCTGCTCCCTCCTGGACTATCAGATCCCTCAGACTCGTCATAAGGAAAACCTTTTCTTCTTTTGATCTCTTCCTTTCTTCTGAATCATACTCTTCGCGAGTCAGTCCCATCATGCACCAGGCGAACCTGAGTTGTAACTCTGTTCTTACGTAAGGTACTGCCACGAGAGCATGTATTCTTGGCATAGTCCTCATTTCTTCTTCGAAGTACCTCAATACTACTGCTTTCCATGGAAGACTCACTAACTGCTCGATCGTTTCCGCCTGTACGTCAGACGACGCCAAAGTCCCGTACGCCTTCTGCTTGAGGGTGGTGCCTTGCAACATCGTTTCCAGATAACCCTCCATGGCTTTTTCGTCTTCCAGGGCCATTACATACCCTCTAGCCGAGTTTCGGTATTCCAACATCTCCATGTATCCACCGGTGGGTTCATCTATCGACACTGTCTCCGACACTGTTAGTCGGTTGTATTCCACTGGTGTTAGTTGTCCTGCGACACTTCCCTTTCCATGATTCATGGGAGATGGCTTGAAGTCTCTCATTTTGCTCTCTCCACATTGGCTGAGTATTTCCATTTCTAAGGTTGCTCCAGTCAGAGTGCGGTCACTCCTTT